CATTTTTAAAATATTTATTAAAAAAAAAGCCAAAACTTATAAGTAATTCTTAAAACGAAAAACAAATTCAACAAAGTTTTCTGTAAACGACAATTGTTGTTTTTAATAAAAATAAATTTTATGTTGTTTCTTTTACAAATCCCAATTAACACATTGGGCGGGAGTTTTTTCTTGAGGTTTTGTGTAATCCAAATTGTTAATTTTTTTTTGTTTTGTTAAAATTAATTAATACAATACATATATATATGTATATGAAGAAATTGAATAAACAGTATATCCTTGTTATTCACAATTTTGTTTTGTAATTGTTGATATCGCATATCATAATAACTGAAGGTGGTATAACCTTCATATTTATTTTTTAGCATTAGCATTTTTAGTATTTGTTTCCTTTGAAGAGCTGAAGAAGTAGTTGTGGAATAGTTTTATATTATGTTCATGTTTCTTCACTCATTACCTGTCATTTGGACAAGGAGGTTGCCTTTTTGTTTTAATAAGATTCTATTTGTATTTTTAATAATATTACTTTTAATTTGTATGCGAATTTATTTCATTTTAGAAAGCATTTCAATTGTAGCATTCCTTTGTTGCTTTTTTCGCAATTACATTGTGTATGTATTTGACATGTATGTATGTTTTATATTTATAGAATTATTAATTTGTTTGGATAAAAACATTTCTCACTTTTATTTTTGTTTTTTTTCAGTTATAACATTAACTTTCTTGTTTTAAGTTTTCAACAAATAGAATAGAATACACTCAACATGTTTTGTAAGTTGTTTATTGTTTTTTCTTTTTTGTTTTACTTTAGAATTTTGTTTGTTTCTTTTTTCATATATGAAGAATATTTTTGTTTTGTAATAATGTGTATGTAGTAGGCATGTATTGTTGTATATGTGGGGGGTCTTATTGCATTTTTTTAATGTTTAACAATTTGTTGATAATAGTTATCTTAAGTTGTTGTTTTATAAATAAAAAATATTTATGTATGTATATGTGTGTGTAGTTGTGTATTTAATCATTCAACACCTGTTTATAGCTTAAACATATGATCTTATTTTGTTTTTATTTATTTTTGTTTGTTTATGTATTCATCGTCGCTTATGTTTATCTCTGGCTTTATTTGGTTCTTCGGTGCTATTACTGTTTCGAAAGTCTATAGTTTAAGATCCTTTCAAAACTGGAAATACATTAAGTGAAAAAGCAATTAGATAGTAAATTTGTTATATACAAACAATTGGATTTTAATGTATGTATATAAAAAATATTATAAATGCAAATATAATGATTTCTTATGGATGACGATTTTATTTTAGATTTCATTACAAATGTTGTATAAATTTTCTGTAATTTAAATAGCTTTTCGTGAAAAAATAATAAAACATTTACTTTTACATATTGGAGATCTTTAGGCGAGCTTTCATTTTCACATACAATTCAATGTGGTCCAATTTTCAATAAATAAAGTTTAAATGTGTTCTTTAACTATTTTGCAAGTTGTCATATAGTGAAAATTTAGTTCAAAACCGGAATAACAAATAGAAATTACATTGAGTTGGAATTGACGAAAAACATGTAACCTCAATTTCACCCAATATATTTGTAACATTCTTTACATACGTTGACAATTTTGTTTGTATGTGAACATGAAGAAGAACTGTATACTGTAATCGTTATTATTTTTCCACGATAGAGTAAAATAATGCCGTAAATATAAAAAAAATATATTTTATAAATCTGTATTTGTTCTGACATGGAAAGGATACAAATTCAGTACGGCTATATGTAATCTAATGGGTACAAATAAATTATTTAATGCTAAATAGGGTTCAGATCGCTAAAAACCATGGACCTTATTGACAGATCTTTTTTTGGAGGATATTTTCAGCAAATTAATTTGAAAATTTGGGATATAAAGATAAAGAAAATCGTGGCAATGGATTTTGGTTTTCGCAAACTGAACTTCAGAATATATGATCGGAAGTCTGCCATAGTTTTTCTTAACAATTCATCGAGGATATTGTGCCGTAATAAAAATTTTGTAAACAATATAGTTTTTCTGAGTTCCCAAAGCGGCAAAATAATCAACCTATTGGTGATTATTGGTAATCAAATATATTATCAGAACAATTTGATTTTCTGCAACAAAGATGGACAATATTAATTTAATTTTCTTTTCTAGGTCCAAGTCGAAGTCTGTCTAAAATTAGCATGAATTCAATGCTCTTCTCCTGGAAACCAGAAAATCGCAATAAAAATCGATCGGAAAATGTAGCATATATGATCAAACACATGAAATCGGCCGGCTATTCCTAAACGTGTATTGTTTAGCCTTTCCCGTGAATTGTACTATGTGATTAGATCAATAATATAGTTGTTTATATTTCTACAATGATATCATTTAGTAAGCCGTCGAACGCAACCTTTTAATATTTTATTAACCGATAGTTCTCTAAATTTATTTCCATATAAATCACTTCATTTGAAATGCATAGTGTTTTATTATTCGGTTCTGGGAGTTTTTTACTCGCAAATAAAAATTTTCGTAGCAAGCGACTATCATTATAAGCAATATCCATTAAAGGACAAAACTTCTTTCGGGACTTTTCGATACCGTCGTTATGATCGATATGTCGTTAAAAATAATTTCGATGTTAGTTATTTTCCATGTCAGTACAAAACACTAATTAAATAAAATCAAAAAAAATGTTTTTCTTTATTTCAAAGTATTTGTTTCATTATTAACATTTAAAATGTTCCAAAGAAAGCAAATCAATTTTTATTTCTTTATTTTTTATATAATTTGCAATAAATACTAATAAAAATATATTTATTTCTGCAAATAAAAAAACAATTTTGCTAAATTTTAAGACGTGTTTGTGGATTGTAAAAAATGTAGTAATAATAATTATAATAAATGAAAATAAACACATAACGTCTTTCATAAAAATAAAATAAAAAATTGTGTGCTATTTTAGCTTGCTAATTGTTTGAATAATCATAATATCCTTAAATAACGCTAAACTTTTTTCTCGTTACGAAACTTAAGAATATATAAACATAACAAACTAAAATATCTTGCTGTTATATGACCGTTGACGGCTGGGCTGTACGCTTGGAATCACTTGTATTTACACAATAAAGTCTATAGACCAATATTTTGTATATATATATATATATATATATGTAGAATATAATAGGCATACAACAAAATCTAGCAGTGGGGATACAGCTAAAACAGGAAGTCATAACTATTTTCTAGTAGTCATCATCATCGTCATCATTGGACTCATTTGATTCTCCAAAAAGAAGGCTCATATTACTTTGATTAATCTGGAAAAAATGTTGTGGCAACGTAGACCAGAAAACTATGAGAATCGAAGTTTACTTTCGAAGAGTTTTTTTTAAATTATATGTTTACTTTGGTCCTTAATTAATGTACCAATATAATATAAAATTATTTGATATGAATTTAGAAAATATATATGACAAAAAAGAGAAGTTAGATAGCATATATATGTATGTACAAATCTCCTTCTTGTGCTAAAATACATTATTATACAGTTATAATACTGGCCAGTCAAGAAAATCGGAAAACTTTTACGTAAATGCAATGAAAGAGATGTAAGTGGAGGCTGTATGATTTATTCTTTTATCATTTATTATTTACAACTTGAAATATTGTGAATATATTCTTTATTGGCCTAAAGGCTTCGTTATACATGTTAAGTTTGAAATAAATAAAATAAAAAATAAATAAATTGTTAAGCATATGCAAAGCACCACTTACATCAATTTCGTCACATTCTATTAATTGTATATTTTCCGAACATGTAGTAGTTATTATCATTAAACACTCTTTCGATTTTTTTGTTACCAAAACCATTTAGGAAAACCCCAAAACCGTTACCATAACCTCCAAAATGTTATAAATGCGTTTTTGTAAATAATTTGTATTATACAGAAATATGTATATAGAGTAGAGATACGAGTATAGAGTATATTATATACACCTTTATTATGTAAGTAAAAAATAAAAATAAATTTAAAACGACTGATGAATATGAGTTTGCATTTGTTTTTTTTTTTTCATTCTTTTCATGATTATTTTCATTTTTTTCTTTTTTAACAGTTATGATTAATGCTATGAGTGTTTGCAAGTATGTATTTATATATGTTTGCGAGAGTGTTTAAAACATTAAAAAATATATATGTATATAGTTGGTAAGGTTGCATTTTTAGCTTAAATTATTATATTTTCTATAAATTAAATAAACTAAAGAGTTATGTATGTATGTATTTATGTATAGTAGTTAATATAAAATGTTAATGGTATGGAGTAGGTGTGTGTGTGTGTGCGTTACATGTGTTGATATTTGTATGTGCAAATGTATTAATAATATATACACGTAGATCTAGCATGTAGTTTTATGTGGAATATAATTTGTACATATGTCCACCAACAAGATCCTCGTATATAGTGTGTGTGTGTGAGTGTCTGCATTATGGAGTAACCAAAATATAACTTCATAATTAATACGCTGTGTATGTAGCTTATGAAGCATACAATAATGTAGCCCAAAAACAAATGTACACCGGTTAGAATGTACACCGGGATTACTAGTGTATTTGTTGCAGGACATAGAGGTTGATTTGAGGCAAAATCTGCAATTGCCACAAAATCACAACAACAATTCAATCATATAGAAACTAATATTTAACAAAAATAAAAACATAAAAAGGATCAACCATCAACCTTTCGTCAACAAAGCCAAATGTTTCCCGGGTGCGGGTAGATGAATGTGTGTGCTTGTTTTCGGACAACAACAACCATAATCAAAGTAAACTTAAATTTACTGTACCTTGCTAGAATATTGAGTTTTTTGTGTTGTTCCATTACCACCGCTGCTGCCACCACCTACATTAGCGCTGGAGCTATGACTTCCACCGGCTAACGAACCATTCGATGCTACACCCATACTGCCGACATTTGCATTCGCACTTAGACTACTGCTACTGCCTCCACCACTGGATTTGGAGGAGGACTCATGTTGTCGTTTCTTCTCCTTATCACGCTCCCTATCCTTTTCACGATCACGATCTTTCTTTTTACTACTGCTGCTACTCGAATGCGTGTTCGTTGAACTTGAGTGTGAAGAGCTGCCATATGGGGCATATGCCGAGGAGGATTGACTACTGCTATTATGGCCATATGATGGATGTGCTGCCTGTCCACCTCCTGCTGCATGATCTGTCGATGAGGATCCACTGCTATACGTTTCAAGTTTATCCTTCGATATTTTTATCTTTAAAACAGGCGGGGCGGCTTCTGTGTGTGAAGAGTGGCTCGTTGTTGGCTGTGAACTAAGATCTCCCATAATTCGATCTTTGGGTATTTTAATTTTAAAACCAATCGGCTCGCCCGCAGATTCAAGTTTTTCCTTGGATATCTTAATCTTAACATGCTCTGCACTTTCCGAGTCCTTCTCTCTTTCCTTGTCCTTGTGGCGGTCTTTGTCCTTTTTGTGTTTCTTACGCTCTTCCCTATCTTTCGACTTGTCCTTATCCTTTTCCTTGTGCTTGTGTTTGTCCTTCTTTTTCTTCTTTTCAGATTTACCACCACTTGTGCCATGCTCTTCAGTTTCCATGGCACTAACATCTGAATTTCCAGAGAGTACAGCATTCGCTGCAGTTACCGAAGAATTGGAGGTATTGTGTGCAGGATTTGGGATTGAGGTAGTGGTGGTGTTTGTTGCCGTAGGTTCAAATAGTTCAGCTGGAGGCTGCAAACTGGGTGTTACGATCGAATTTTCCGTTTTTAACAGACCGGCCGGAGGACACAGGCTTTCTTTCAAGAGATTTCTAACCAAATCCGGATTGGTTTCAATGCCATTAACCACTTGGTTATGTTTGCCTGTATCACCTGCATTGTCCAATTTTCGTATTTTACTATCGCGTAAGTGAATGTCGTCCTCCGATTTGATGGCCTGTTGCTCATTGGGTCTCTTAATGCCGCCACCACCGCCGCCAATACTACCAGCAGCATTACTTGTACCAGCAAGTTCATTGAGGCTTGTCATTTGACCTTCGAGTTTCACTGATTTCAACATTGGTTGTGGTTGATTTGCTCCAGACGACGATGTACTGTTTCGACCAGAATTAGGCGAAGGATCTTGTTGGCTACTGGAGGAGGAACGATTTTTGTCTTTCTTTGAAGGCGTGTCTTTTTCGCTCTTCACTTTTGGTGGACTTTCTTTAGTGCCTGCTAACTTATAACCTGCATAACCTTCGGCAACACTGACATTGTGTGACATACCTCCATTGTTGTTGTAATTAAGATTTTGTGGCATTGGATGTTGCTTAGATTGTTGGGGTTGCTGCTGCTGTTGTTGTGGATGAGATTGTTGCTGTTGCGAGTGCGTATCGTGTTGCTCGGGAATTTTCTCGTTCCATTCTGGGCTGAACATGGAGCTCACTGTTTTTGTGACAGGATTCTGATGAGCTGAGAATTGCGACATCGCATGGTCTTCGGCGGAATGCGGTAGAGGTTCGATTTTACAATAGTTATTGCTTAGCAATGATGCTGTATGCGATTGCTGTTGTTGTAGATCGTGTTGTGTTGGTGGCATACCGGGGTAGTTAGACTCCGGCGGTATTAACTGTTTGTGGTTGTGTGTTGAAGTTTGTGTGGGCTGTTGCATATGGACGGAAAGTTGTTGTTGTTTAGATTGTTCATGCTTAAGACTGCTACTATTACTAATGTTGTTATTGTTGCTGTTATTGCTGCTACTGTGTCGTGATCCCTGTTGTTGCTGATGGAAATTTATTAAGTTGTTTGGAGGACCGTTTGCTGGCTGTTGGGGTGGCGGCGGCGCAGGCTGATTATAGCCTCTGGATGAATGTTGTTGCATCATATTGCGCGACATATCATGAATTGCATCCATTTTGTTCGTCGGTTGATTGGCCACACCGCCTGGAGGAATTTGTTGGTTACCGCCGTATTGTTGCGATGATGAAGATGAGGAAGAAAATGCTTTACTGCTGTTGCTGTTACTTGGCTTGGATTGTTGTTGTTGCTCCGGGGGTATACGGCCAGAATGATCTTTTGCCATGGAACGTCCGGGGTCCTGTTGCTTTTGAGCCATTTTGTGAGGCATACCATGGGGCGGCAGAGTGTGTGAACCTGGAGGAGGAGGTGGAATATTACGATCCCTTGATTTGTGATAGTTCACATCCATTGAATGACCCTGCGAAGATTGGCGAGGTAATTGCTGTCCAACCATACTGTTTGACATCGACGACCTAGATGAGGAGCTTGAAGATGAGGACTTTGACGATGGGGCCATCATCGATGATGGATTGTGATTCGAAGACGAGGAGTGATCTCTCTGACGACTAACCAAATTTGTACCATAGGGTGGCTGCTGCTGTTGTTGTTGTTTGTGGCCGACACCGAGCTTGTGGTCTTTAAGAGCAGAAGCATTAGAATCTGTTTAAAAGTAAGAAATAGAAAAATAAAATTATTACCGGGAACATCTCCAGCAGGATAGCCGATTTTGGGGGGATGGTGTGAAGACGATGACGAGGAGGACGATGAAGAGCTGTGATGTGAACGATGCTGACTGGAGGACGAGTGCATTTCGGATTTGCGCATTTGCTGAGGTGGTGGTGGTTGATGTGGTGGCGGCGGCAGCATTGTAGCCGCCATATTCGATTGCGACTGATCGCCTGCCGATGGTCCTTGTCCTCCATACTGGGAGGAAGACTGTGAGCTATTGTTACCACTCACAGGTCCATTGTCGCCAGCTGGTTGATACATTTTCATCATGTCAGCCATCTTCCAATCTTGTTCGCCCTTCTTTTCTTTCACTTGTCCTTGACGATTGTTGCTGGCACCCTGGGCCATAGCTTTTATAGAATTCAATTTGGCTTTGAGGCGAGCAGGACTCTTTTCATAAATCGTAATAAATTCGTCCGTAAGTTTCTTAAGTAAATCCATCGTCACCGTCTCATCAACATAATGGAACCAATGTTTCCCCTCTGTCGATTGAGGTATCTATTGTGCGAAAAAGCAAAGAAAAGTGGTAAAGGGACAAAATGAATCTTGATTTCCAACAATTTGTCCCCAAGTATAAACCAGATATTTACCTCCCATCGAGACCATTTACAGGCCAAATAAATGCAAAAGCAGGCTACAACTGTGGGCTTATATTGCAGGCACATTGAAGTCAAATGCAAACTATTCGATGCCAGAAAATAGGAAGTTTGGGCCAATTCTTTGCAAGCTGAAATATAGAAAGATACATTTTATTATTAATGGTTTCATATTCATAGTAATTAAGTAAATTTTGGAACAAACATATATTATGTAAATATTAAATATAATTATAGCTTATTGAACGTGTGTTATGTTTTACAATACAATCAGAAGAATTTAGAAATTTTAAATATCCTAATATGAATCCAATATTCCCTTCCTTTATGATTGAAGCTACTATATTTTATATTGAAATTAAATAGCGTTTACTTATTCTAGGAATATTTACAATATCAATATATTTGGCATAGAGGTGCAAGAGGACAGCTTCATATCATAACCAATTAATGACCACTTGTCCGCTTCAATTTTACGCGTATGCTTACACTTTCCAGTATATCAATTTTAATCATAACCCCTATTAAAGTTCAGTTCATATTTACCCTTAACCAGATGACATGTTTTCACAACATGAGTATGTGGGTGATCGATGGCTACATCAAAACCCAATGTTTGTAGTAGGACATTTTCGTTGAAGACCAAATCTTGAGCCTGTTCGATGTAGTAGGCATCCGTTGTAGAGGTAGTCGGCTGACTTAGGCACTTATTTGCCGCCCTTATGACATGCTCTAGTTTACGTGGCTGCTCCTCCACTTTGGCGGCCAAGAACAGGCTTGCGGCAGCAATACTATTGCGATGAAACTGTGTAAACGAATGAAATGCATAGAAACGATGCATATACACGATGGCAGTGTTGATGCACAATTGTGAGCTAAAGGTAAAAGAATCCTCAATTAACAATGGCCATTATGTTGTATGCGCGTAGGTCCTCGACAATACTTACACTTGCAGCCTTTGGCCCATATCCTGTATAAGATAAGCGGTCATCTGGCGATAAGACAATTCCTGATCGGGTGAGATGCCATTACGCCTGCTGGGCGAATTGGCCAAATCCTCTGCCGTAAAATACCACATGGAATCTTTGTCGCGGTCACCATTATTGCTGCGAACAGGTGACGGACTTGGCATTCCACTCATGTTTTATCACAACCAAGCAATTGGGGTATATAGGAGACTGGATGAGGAATAGCAAAGTGGTGGTGATGATGAGGGGGAAACTTCAAACAAAACACGGGGCAAAACAAACTTCAGCATTTAAACACTAAGCATCACTTTCCAATTTTATCTCTTAATTGTTGTTTTTGTTGCTTTTTTGTAATATTTTTTGCTATGCATACATTGGGAAGAGAAAAAAGTACAGGTATGCTACTATTACGACGACGACAACCACGACGACGCTTGCTCTGCTGACAATGAATGCCGACGCTTGTTATTGCTGTTTAGTTGCGTTGTTTTGATACGATTGCTGACGCTGCTATTTAGAGACGGCGTCGACGCTATGATCCGCTGCTGCTTCTTCTACTGCTGCCTGTGTTTTAATCTATACACACTACATGCATCCAAAATCGATCAGGAATGGTTATTTTCCCTTTGTCAAAACAGATGACAAATTTCTCGTAACCAAATTGACGGAATTTTTCGACACAATCTATAGTGTTTATTTCGGGAGGGGGTTTTCGTAGTTTCCACGAATCTCAAGGAACAAATTTTCCTTTTCAATTTGCCATGAAGAAGCCACGAGTATTTCAAAACACACACAAACACACGCGCATTTGTACGCGAACGTCTCTATATTATTTCTTTCTTCGTCGTTTTGTGAAATCACTTTTCACTCACTACCGCCACTGAAAACTCCGCAAATTATGCAATCGGAAGTTCAAACGCGGACGTATCGGCTGACAAATGTGGAAATACACATTTATTTTGTATTTGCGTGCAAAATATATGCACTAATTGCAATATTTTCCAGAATTTTTTGTAGAAATTAACCACTAGAAAAAATATATCGCCGACGACAAAGCACTTTAATCGCTACAGCAATACGGCAACGCTTGCCGCAGAAGTACGGCAACATTGACGAAAGTGGTTGACAAGGGAATTGGTAATAATATGGCGGTGGGTTCGCCTGTGTCGATATGTCTCACGACAACAATTTGAAGGCAAAATAGTTGTAAACAATAAGAAAAAAAATTCATTTATTTCAAATTATTATATTTTTCTATTTATTTTCCAACAAATATATTTTAAAAATGCGTTGAATCTTTATTTATTTCAATTATTTTCAAAATTATTTTCAAAAATGTTTTCTGAAATAATGAAACCAATTACTTTAGTCTTTGTTTGTAAACACTGCAACACTAAACACCGCGAAAGTCAGAAAACAATTAAATGTCATATTGGCATGACTGCAACAAAAAATAACAATATTTCGATAGCATCATTTCATGTCAAACAGATTTACCTGTATTTATGACTTATTGTTGATTATTTGTGTGCTGTTTAATTATGTGTTCAAGAAATTCTTAAGTATTCTGATTCGCTGAAAGTCATAAAGTAATGGTGTACAAAATATTGAAACTGGCAATTTTAAGAACAATAGTTTAAATCCTAAAAGTGGGAAATCCACTGTCCATATGTTGTAAATGAGCTATTGTTCTGAACGCATATGAGCATCTACCTGCTATTGAGAAACTGCAGGTAGAGTTAGGGAACATTTTGCATCCTTTCAACATTAAACAACGAAGTCAATTGAAAAATATTAGGAACGGCGTCGTTTAAAGAATATTTACAATTCAATTTCAATTTTCTTTATTGAGACTTCTTTTTATCAGATATTACAATTTTATATTTAGTAACAAACAATAGCATATGTTGATTTTAGTTCTGTAAACGTATTGAACTAATAAACTCTAACAGTGTTGACATCTTCAATTCGATACGAATTAATAGTTCTTTTAAAATACATTTAATGTAATATAGTGACAGTATAAAAAACAATGTTTGCTCACGACATTTACGGTGTTGTACAGAGCTTGGTCTGATATTAACAATATTAAGGGAAACAACCTAACAGAAAACAGGATAACAATAAATTTCCTGTAACAATAAAAACATGAAATTAACAATAATCGTTTTTTTTTTATAACAATGTAAATCGAAAGTACAATTACAGTATGTACATATACAAGTATAAACGGATAATAATCTTTATAATTGAGATTACGAAATTATAGCGTTCATATAATTGTATTATAAGCGTATATACAAAAAACATTAAAAACATATAATACTGGAGACGTAAGATTTTATCCTCGATGCGAACAAGGCACAGCCTTGATATAGAATTGAGGAGGTGAGGTTAGATTGACATTATTAAGATCTTCGTGAAGTATTCCTACTGACGATAGGTATGTAGACGAAGTCCATGTGGTATTGTGGTTTGCTTCAAAGATTTCGTTCATTAATGGATTTTCGTGATGCTCCAGTCTTTCGGCGAATTTTAGGTGTTGTTGCATCGCATAGTGACAGAGAGGTTTGATGGAAGCGTTGGTGTAAATGAATTCGTTCGAGTAACGTTTCGAAGGGCATTGGAAGTTTTTGTTCAAACATTTGCGTAAGACATTTCTCTCGAATATTTCCATGTTGTTGGCCACCACAGGAGAAATGGAGAACCAAATAGGGAAAGCGTAGATGAGCAGAGGTCGTATCGCTACCTTATAAATTAGAAGTTTTGTCTGTGATGGCATATATTTACTCTTGAGGATACCAGCATACATTCCAGCAACCTTTTTTGCTTTGGTGGTGATAAGCCGACCATGCTGATTAAATCGAAATAGGTAACTAAAGGTTACACCTAGATACTTTAATGATGTTTTGAATGGAATTTGGATACCATCAAGCGGAAGAGAGAGGTTTTTACTTTGCGGCACCACCAGTCTATGACATTTGCCACTTGCATTGCGAATGCAAATAGCTTCAGATTTTGTGGGGTTTATTTTAATGCCCCATTTTTTGTAAAAGTTGTTAATGATGTTGAGATGTGTGGCAACTGCGTTACGAGCTTCGTCTGGAAATTGGTTGTGCGAATAGATAAGACAATCATCTGCATACAGGATAGCTTGCGAGTTTAAGTGGCGGTGTGGGAAATCATAAAGATATAAATTGAATAAGAGGGGCGCTAGGACGCTCCCTTGCGGGACTCCGCTTCTTACTTCTCCAAAGTCCGAAATGGCATTTTGAATTTGGACACAAAATTTGCGGTCCTGAAAGTAGTTATGTAACAACTTAATGAGGAATGGATCAACATTAAGTTCAATTAGCTTGTAAATAATACCTTTATGCCAGGTCGAATCGAAGGCTTTCTGAATGTCTAATGATACTGCGACTGTTGAATTCTGCAATCTTAGGTTGTAGACAATATCCGAGTGTAGTTTAAGAAGTGCATGTTGCGTCGAATTTCCAGGCCTGAATCCAAACTGGTAGTATGAAAGAGGATTTATAACAAATTCATTTTCGATTTTTGATTTTAACACAGCTTCAAAAAGTTTTCCGATATTAGAGAGAAGTGAAATAGGTCTGAAATCAGCCACATTTTCTGAGGAGTTCTTTTTTTTAATGGGAATTATCTTTGAAATCTTCCACGATGGGGGGAAGTGCCCATTATTAAGACAGTTGTTGAAGACAATGACTAAGAGTTTTATGGCCGACTCAGGGATCTTTTTCAGTATGTAGTTCGAGATGTTATCAATGCTGCAGGATTTCTTGTTTTTAGAAGCGGCAATTATGCTTTTAACAGACTCCGAATTTGTGAAGTGGTAAAGGTCTTCATTATCGAGGGATGTGAAATCATCATTAAAGGTATAAATTTGACGAGGAAGGTTTTCCAAACAACGACCAATCCTGGAATCTATGTTTTCCACAGGGCTATCTGGGGCTTGCTCGCTGAAAACTGATCCATAATAATTGTGAAATAGGGTACATTTATCTTCATCAATTGTAGCCGATATGTTATTATATGTAATACAGTGGCTATGTAATGATTGTCTCTTACCGATGACTCTGTTAATCTGCTTAAAAGCCGATGGACCGGGGGTAATTTGTTGCAGGAACTTCCCAAACCTTTTAGCTTGCTCCAATCTGATTAAGTCATTGATAATTATTTTTAGCAAGGAGATCTGCTTTGACAGAATATTATATTCCGGAGAAGTTCGATTGCCATTCCGATGATAAATTCTCTTTAATTGTTTCTGCCACCTATGCTTTTGGCTTAGAAATAGTTTAATGTTTTCTTGCAGAGGCCAGTTGCCATTTTTTAGTTCGATTTTGGTGGAATGTCTATCAGCCATGTTTGCTAGGGTTTGAGAAAATTTGTCCACGATATTATCAATTTCGGGGTTGCTCAGATTCCTGTTGATAGGTGGCAAAAGGACTGATGAGGCTGCATCAAGATCTCTTTTAAAATGAGACCAATTGGTATTCTTAAACGATTGGAATGAATTAGATGGTATTACATTGAATTCAAGGTCAGCTAATCGCAATTGTAACTTTAGTGGGTAGTGATCTGAAAACGAAGCTAAAGATGAAATTTCGTAATTAGGCGGGTTAAAGGAGATAAGATGCCTGCTAATTAGGAAGTGATCAAGGTATGAGCTCCCATTTGGGAATGAGGGATTCACATCACAGATTCTGTGTACGTCACTTACGTTGTCCTGAAGCCAATTCCAAAGAGAAACTCCATTCGGGTTTTGGATACGATCTCCCCAATAAGGGTTTTTTGAGTTTAAATCACCTCCAACAATCATACCATCATAATTATTAGCAAGGTTGAAAATTTTATCAAGACCTGAAATTATGTCCAATCTGGGGAAATTTGAAGGGATGTATAAGGATCCAATCATGTACCTTTTCGCAGCACCGCCATGTTTAAGAATTATTTCGAGAAAAATTGTGTGAAACCGCACATCTTCCAATGCTACTCGTTTGAAAAAAGTGTTGTCCTTAATTAAAATTGCTACACCCAGAGGACTATCGTCAGAGATTAGTTTGTATCCTTTAATGTAAATTCGCCGTTTGTTTTTCAGATGAAGCTCTTGTAGGAGGCAAACATCAATTTTATTATAAAATAACATATTTTGTAATTCAATTTGCCGCATCTTGTCTACGAGCGAGCGCACGTTAAAAGTCATAATATTAAGAGCCTTATAGACCATTTTTAACTTTGTTTAAAATACGAAGAAACTCAGCCTTAGCTTCACTTTTTGGCATATGTCGGTATTCGTTCAAGAATCTCTCGATTTCTTGTTCTAAGGTCAGAACTTCGGGCTCCATAAAATATTTTGACAATTTTAAAAACTCGTCAATCAATGCATTTGATTGGGAAGTTGGTGGTGAAGAAAAACAACCGGAAAAGGACTTACCAGGAACAATCATTGCAGAAATCGACTTCTTAACTTGCTGGGC